CATGGACCTCATCAGGAAGGAGGTGACTGGGCCTTGACTGAGGCTGAAGAGTTTGTCATGTTTCTGTTTATTTGTTGGACGCTTGCACAGGCAATATGGAGTCTGCATCGTAGGAAAATGCATGTGTAAGGGAAATATGTTGTTTGCCATGTAATGTACAATTCACGAAGGAATACAGCGGGTTACATATGAAGGAAAAGCGAGAGCAAAGCTGCTCGTATTTTAAGAATCTCGTTTATTGTTAACGATGGATTCAAACATAGCAAAGAGACAACAATAGGTTTAGAGTTATTACGTTATCATGACTTTTGCTCGATTTAATCAGATGTATTTCCATTATCTGACTGTATGCCAATAGCATCCTAAAATTCCTAAATGTTAAAGCGATGCATACTTGTTGAATATATTGCAGCGATCTTTTCCATTTACACACACACACTCACACACACACACACACACACCACACACACACACACACACACACACACACACACACACACACACACACACACACACACACACACACACACATATATATATATATATACATATATATATATATATATATATATATATATATATATATATATATATATATATATATATATATATATATATATATATATATATATATATATATATATATATTATACATATATATATATATATATATATATATATATATATATATATATATATATATATATATATATATATATATATATATATATATATATATATATATATATATATATATATATATATATATATATATATATATATATATATATATATATATATATATATAATATATATATATATATATATATATATATATATATATATATATATATATATATATATATATATATATATATATATATATATATATGTATGTGTGTATCCATATCTATATGCATATGTATATATATATGTATTTATATAAATGTGTGTGTGTGTATGTGTGCATGGGCATATATGTGTGTGTTTCACTTAATATAAACCGCACTGATGTTCAACAGGCACTGACTGCGACCACAGAAGGCGACGCGCCCCCCTCAGGGTTTGTCACATCCTTGAGGAATATAGTGGACAGCATTATTGTGCTTGTAAGGTGAGTCTTGCTATTCCAATGTCACCTTCCCGTAATGGCAAATTTGAGGATTACAATTCTAGTTTACAATAACAGTAGTGAGGACAAAACAGTGTCAGACTACGGAAATATTATATATATTTTCTATGTACTCGTATAAGACCACATATATATACTATGCAAATGTAGGAGTCTATTTTCAGGAAGATATTCTTGAGTCTGGTATGTATTTGAATTAGTATTTTATTGATTGCTGTTATTAGTGTAATAGCAATCGAATGACCTCTGGCGACGGATAAGCATTTTCAACATGCATATTTTGGATGAAAAACTTTGTAAGCAGATGACGGGATGATGACGAAGAGACTATTACCGTTGTTTGAAGCTGGCAGGAATATCCAAAAGTACGCTTGCTTTCCAGAACGAGGAGAATGCGCAGTATTACGCTGTCGTTCTATGCCCAGTTCTTCGTGCTGGGAATGGTCTACTACGGCCTCTCGTTCGGCGCCGACAAGCTGGGCGTGGATCCGTTCGTGTACATGGCGGTCAGCGGGGTGATGGAGGTCCCCAGTAGCACGCTGACCATTCCTCTCGTAGAGAAGATGGGCAGGAGAGCCTCGAGCACGCTTTTCTTCGTGGTCACCGCCGGCTCGCTCTTGGTGCTCGGCTTCATCCCAGATGGTACGTAGCCCGTAGCTTCTGGGCCAATTATTAGTTACTGCCCCGGGCCGAAAATAATATTAATGAATAACTTATTCACTCTCAGCTTTGGAGTGGCTGGTGATTACAATGGTCATGCTAGGTCGGTTGGCCGCCACGGTAGCCTTCCAGGTCGTGTACCTCTATGCCAGCGAACTCTTCCCGACCGAGGTGCGCGCCCGTGGGTTCGGGACTTGCATGATGCAGTCAATGGTCGGCGCCATGCTAGCTCCCGTCATTTTGGAAATGCTGGTGAGTGCAGTATATTTATCTCGCTTATTTTAATTCAGAGAATCTTTGTTTCAATTCAGAATATCTTTTTTTATCACTGTAATTTTTATTATTACTATCATTATCATTATTATTACCATAATTAATAATAATAATCAATTTCCGTTAGTAATTACTATTATTGTTAGTTACCTACATTGTTAATATCTTTATTTTTGTTATTGTAGTGGTTGTATGGGCGTTATCTTACCGCACTCAGTCAAAGTTTTCGCTAAAGACTGAAAGGCAACAGAAACACGTGAAATAAGTTAATAGATTCTTGTTAATCAAAAGGAGGAGCAGAGTAATGTACTGGGAGACTTGCATGCGCTGACGGATTCAACTCTGAAGGTCCTGAGAGTTGCCAGGCAACATCAATATGTTTCTATATATTAATACCCTGGTATTTTCACACACATATCAGACATTTCCAAACTTAGAATTCACTTAGATCGGCGAGGAAGTGAGTTGCTTGCAGGATTGCATGGTTTATCAGGATTGCATGGGGTGTCACTGGGAAAGTAGATAGGGGTAAGAAATCGAGGATTCCTACAGCATATTCGTCCTCTTGGGAGCTTAACCTGATAATCTCGAGATCTGCCAATTTCTACGATTGTACCAACCTTATCCCAGTGGAGTGACAGGGTTCTGGATGCAATCCTGGCCATTGATTTTCAACCTGGGTAAGGGACGAGCATGGTGGTTATAGCGATCCTCGACATCTTTAGCTCGATTGGCAGCATGATGGTCACATGCCTTGGAAATTGTTTGCCTTTTCTCCTTGAAGGGCTCTGGGTGGGCTAGCACACAAGAACAGAAGGGGTGGCCATATATCTGTGCTGGGGAGCATCCGGTGTAATTTGGGGCTATTTTGGTGCTCAAGCTAACTTCAATCAAATCTCATCTTACTAGTAGGGTCCACCTTCATTATGAAGCATTTTACAGTTTTCATTGCTGACTGTAAACTGTTGTTGGCTTGGCTGAAGTACCTGCCATGCTTTACATATTAAGATAATGATGATATTGGCGTTAATGCCAGGCCAGAACACAGTTTATGTTGCCCGTCTCTTGTTAGCTTGTACTTCTCCATGGCTATCATGTAGGGGAGCAGATACTGGTTTGTTTGGAATCCATTTCTCACACACTCCAGAAGTCTGACATACGACTTATCACCTGACTTTGTTGACGTGTCGGTGAGGTACTGTACAGTGTTGAGTGTTCCATGTCTTATGGAGATGCTCATCTCTTAGCTTAACATATCTCCCTTGTCTGGACGGCTAATAGGCTAATGTGACATAACATCTGGAATACAGAACTTCTTTCCTGTTGGCCATGTCGCTAAGAACTAGTATGACGATTACTTCTTCAGTCGTAGCCTAGGATTCTCAACTCCCCCTAATGTAAAGTTGTTGAGAATGTGGATAAGTGGGCAGTGGTCAATCTTAAGTTCAAAATGTATTCCTACTTGGTAGTGCCTACATTTTGTTTTAGCCCAGGCTATAATCAATAACTGTAGCTCGTTTGTGGCATATCAAGTCTCAGTATCTGTTTAAAATTTGGAAACACATTGGTTCAGTTGCATCTGGCCTTTACCATGGTCTTGCAACAAGGCGAGCCAAATACCGTAGAGCCACCATGTATCTCGTCAAGATGGTGGGAAATGAGCTTCACCATTCTAAAAATCTGATCATGATCAGGGGTCCATACAAATGATTGCTCAGGACTCGGGCATAAAGGTTGAAGTGCACTGGCAATTTTAGGGGAAAATTCTGCCAACTGTTTTAAGAGGCCCATGAAAGACCTTAGGTCTGTCAGGTTGGCTGGAGTTACAAAGTCTCTTATGGACTTTAACTTCTAAGGATCAGCTCTGCCGAGAGAATGTAACTACAGAAGGATAATGTAGGTGCTGCTAGGGTGTGTTAGGTAATCTGCATTATTTAAAAGAAAGTCATCCACAACCTTCACTAATTTGCTCATGCCCTGTTGTGCCAGGTCGCCTCGACTGCAGAAAGCATCTCCTGTTGCCACAAAACTCATTAGACCGCGACAGTACCGATAGCATCTATTTGTTGTTATGAAGGTGGTTAGTGCTTGATCTTCTGCAAGTTCAATTTACCAGTATCCACACATGGCATCTACTGTGGTGTACCAACAGCTTAGGAAGATCTGTAGTGATCCCCTCACCACCATTTATTATTATTATTATAGTAAGCTATAGTAAGAGCCACACTGAAAAAAACGAGATATATACCATCAAAAGTGACAGTGCAGGTCAAGATACAGCTAAGAAAGAATGAAAAATAGAAAGTCGGCGAATTACATAAGAAAAATATGTTAGCTGACGTTTTAAACTTATCAAGAGTCGAAGAAGTTACAATCTCTGAAGGCAATCTATTTCAAAGTCTACAAATAGTAAAAAAGCATCTAGAAAAAAATGACCTGTAGACGATCGACTTATATCAAATGTCATTGAATTGAGGGTCATAGAACTTCTGGTAATTCTTGCAGGTTGATAAAAATCAGGTAAAAACTTATAGAGATGTGAATTGTCGGTTACAATCTTGTATAAGACTGAAAGAGCCCCAATAAATCTACGATGTCCAGTGTCCAAATTTAAGTCAGGAGAGAAAAAAAAAAAAATAAAATAAAGCAGTCTTAAGTGTGAGTCTGCAGCAGCTAACCACACAGGACAATACTAAAATTGAGGCAGAATAAAAGAAAAGCACCTACGTATAATGTTGACATCTTCATAGATGACCTTGCACTTGCGAATGATGCCTAACTTTGATGAAATTGCCCGGGCCATATTTCTAATATGCAATTCAAATGTAAACTTTGAATCAAAGGTTACCCCTAAGAGCTTCAGGTTATCCACTGAAATTATTAAAACTCCATTAATCAGTAGACTTGGATGCTGAGGCAACTGCGTTCGAGACATACAATAATTTCTTTAGACTTAGTAGGATTTAATTTCACTCCCCACCAAGAGCACCAAGATTGAATCATCTACAGTGAGACGTTCAGCTACTATTTGCCTAGTTGCCGGAGAAGGAATATCAGCATAGAGAGAAGTATCATCAGCATATGCCAATGATTTATTAGTAATGCCAGACCACATATTGCTTGTATATAAGATAGAGAGCAAAGGGCCAAGAACATTACCTTAATAAAACCCAGAAGATACACGAGAATATGAGCTAAAACTGCCATTATGAACAGGCTGCTGCCTACCAGTTAAAAATTCAGTTAAAATACTTGGATAAATTAACCCAATGGACACGAAATTTGCCGCTCGCCGCCGAGCCCCGCGCCGCGCTTTATTTTCCTGGCGCGCGGGACCCTGCTACGGAATTTAGCCTGACGCCGCCCGGCGGCGCGAAGATTATCGCACCAAAATTGTAGCAGTGTACCCCAAGATATCTGTTTATCGTTGTTTTATTATGAGTGATGAGAGAGTGCACTTTTTCTCATCGTATATTCTACGAAATATTTCGTATTTCTATAGAAGTTGGACAGTGAAGCTGTTCATAAGTGCTCATATTAGCTGATGATATGAACTATTTGACACTAGAAAATAAAAAAAAAATCCTTTTATGAGAGGTCAAGGTACGGACATGTATGTATTTTTTTTTTCAACCAAAGTCGCAAATGAATGAAAATAAAAGGCACAACAGAAGTCCTAAAGCCATTTTCGGTGCTCATAAGCAGTCAAACTGAGAATTCAGCCTGTACTTTCTTTCGTACAGCACTCAGAAAAAGGAAAATTCAATTTTATTTTGAAGTACAAAAGTACCTTCACTTTCTCTATAAGAGTTCAAATTGTGTTGTTTGCTTGTGTTTCATTCTTTCGAAAGAAAGAATTGCTTTGATTTTATATGAGAGCTGAAAATGAGGACTTTGCTTTTTTCAATTGCAATAAGGAGCTCAAGATGCGTCTTGGATGCGTCAGGGCCCCAACTCCTCGCCACCATTGCAATTTGGGACGTGTGTATCATGCTCAGCATGGAAACCTGTTTGGTAAAAGAATTTTATGTGAGAATTGAAACTGTGGACTTTGTTTTTTTTTTTTTTTTCAATTGCAATAAGAAGAGATTTGTACCATCACCATCTACTTCTATGTAAACTATACATACCTGTTTGGAGTCCATCCACGCCAGTGCTTACATCCCTGTTGCCAAGCTCCTAAATGCCACCTCTCCCTTCCAGGAGACCTTGAGGTCCTTCGGCATATGGCGCCGATTCAGCCGGATTGTGCCGACTGTCCCTGTCTTCCGGGATTGAAGGAAATGGAAGAGGGTAGGGGAAGTGTACCAGTTGTCCCAGTACACATTGTAACCCTTCCAGAAGTACCCTCCCCTCTCCATTAGATCCATCACCGCCCGTTGTGTTGAGAATATGGAACCCTCGTCCTTACAAATCCTGAATATGGATGTGTATCTAGCACACGGGCCCTCAATGGCAGAATGCCTTCAGGCCAAACCTGGCCCACTTGCTGGGGTTGTACATTTTGAAGGAAAGGCGGCCTCTGAATTCCCCAAGACTCATCAATGGAGATGTTCTGTCCGAGGACGAAGACCTTCCAAAAAACATCCCCAAACATAGAAATTACCGGATGCAGCTTCCAGAGCCGATCGTCCTCCAGGTGCTCGGCCTCACTGTCTACAAAATGCAGACTGCGAGAGATTTCTTCAAACCTCTTGCGAGGCATTGTATCTGGGAAGATATCCTGTGGGCTCTCAGGATCGCGCGACCAGTAGTATCAGAGCTTGGGCTTTATAGTTAGGGTAATCAAATTTCTTAGACCCAGGTAACAGTGGAATTCGGGTGATGTCAGTGGCTTTCACGTTCGGCCACGGCGGCGCTCTGACTCATTTTGGTCAGCATACCTGAAAGCAAATGGAATGTATTAGTGTATGTATATACAGTGGTCAAAGTTTCTATTTAATTATAGCAATACTCTGTAAAGTTATGAGCATCAATTCTACATACCTGTTTGTTTCTTCAACAATATGAGATATGTCATCAGTGACAAACACCTTGAAAATCTCAAGAGGCGTTGCCCCGTCGCCCAAGGTAACTTTCAGCCCCGGATTGCCCGAAAAGGAGTGCTTGTGGGGAACATTCTCCAGCCTTCTCCACTTGAATGATGGAGTTCCCTGGGCATTATGGCTACATGTTCTGGTCACATGTGCTGGCAAGGGCTCGTCACTGTGGAGGGTCATGTCCACAGAGACGAAATCGAGCTCATCATCCCTCGATGTGTCCATGTCAAAGTCACAATCTGACTCGTCACTGGCATTGATTTCGTCCCCATCTGACGACTCTGTGTCAATTATAAGCAGTTGGTGGAGTTGCTGCTGATGTCGACGGCTGTGGTTCCTGTTGGGTGAGAGAGC